TTGGGCTTTTCTCTTCTGTAAATTGCTTTTCTTTCAGAGCTTGAGAAGAGACATGTTCAGCATGATTCAGGCAAATCTGCAGGGTGCAAGGGCAAAGCAAGTGGAGGAGGAAAAGAAGCCTTGCTTTCTGTGTAACCCAAAAGTCAATTGCCTACAGGAATGGTTCCCACTGGGAGAAGGAAAGGGGCAATGATGAGCAGAGCATGTCTAGCAAGCTCAGCAGAGCTGTAGCTGTTCTGGGCCAGAGGGGAGAAGGACAACTCAACATCCCCAAATCCAGGTAAATCTCTGAGGGGAAAGATGGAAAAAGAAGAGGGGAAAAATGTTCACAAACTAGAGTGACTGCACATCTGCCCTCCATTCTGCTCCACTGCTGCCTGCACCGCCGCCTGCTTCTAAGGGAAACAGCTCTTGAGCACGAGAGACCCCAGGGAGAACTTCCCGGAGCCCTCAACCATCCTGGAGGGGCTTCTCTCTCCTCATGTCACCATATCCCTCACTTGAAACGTTTCCATCATATTGAGGGGGATGGAGGAGATGAGGCTTCCCAGCCGCTAGAGAAGAGTGTAGAGTCTCAGTTCCCCGTAGCACCAGAACCAGGTCTTTGCCGTAGGGCTACACCCACTGCTGAGTACTCTTTCCTTTCCATAGTATCCCTTGGGACTGCCAAAAGCAGAAGGCATTTCCCTGCATAATGCACTCTTCAGCGGGGACAGGGACCAAGAAATGGTATTGCCCCTAACTAGAGGTCCAACACCTCACCAAATCAGAGCCCTACACCGAGACACGCTCTTTTAGCTGAGCAAGACACACTTCTCTTTGCTTTACTGAAATGGCCATTTCTTAATCCAAAGAAAGGCTTTCCTTAGAGTATTCAGAGCGATATTTATGTGTACAGACTTCAGGTTACCAAGAACAAAGTAATGGGAAATAATCTCTATATCCATCTGTCTGTCCATCCATCCGCCTGTATGCTAAGGCTGGGGTTCAGCTGTCCAAACTCTAGAGCTCTCTTGTGACTGGAGCTGGCTGGAAAATATGGAAAAAGAGCATCAGATTTTCATAAGCATTCCCACGCTTGCTTCTTTCCTTGGCCAAATTCCGGATTTCCATGAAAAATGTCTATCAGCATTTTGAAATGAGAAAAATTTCAACCAGCTGCAAAAATTCAGTCCCAAAGCAGAGGGAAGTTTGCAAATTTGGCCTCTCTTCAGAAGTCTTATTTTCAACTGGTGATATTTTGCCCCAGCTAACTAAAGAATATCACAGAAAGTCAAAAAAAAAAAAAAAAAAATTCCCACAGAAGGTGCATAGTTTTTTGGGCATTTCCCATGAGGGAAAATGAGTCCCTAGAGGGACTTGTCTTAGCAAGACATTTTTAAGCATATACATGATTTCCAAGAACTGCTGCTGCTGCTGTGTTAGCTAAGCCTTTGCAGCAAGSAATATTTGCAGCTCTTTTATGGTAATATGTGTATTTTTTTCCCTTTTCCTTGGTATTTTCCTCTTCTCTTAAAGAAAATGAAATTTTCCCTTTCTTTGCTTTAGAAGCAATATGCCTTTATTCCAGCAAGGAGTGTTTGCCYTGCGGTACCTCTGGCCCTTGCGAAGCCACGGTGCTTGCCATCGTCCTCCAGCTGCTGGGCCCAAGCCCAACRAGGGCCCCAGGGTGTCCCCTGCTTCTACCAAAGCCCCTGGGACTGTTGTGTCACCCGCTGACCCCGACAGTGCTCCATGGTGGCATGGAATCCCCACCACGAAACAAGATGGTATCTGAAGGACCTGTGTCCGTGCAGTGTGGGAGGGTTAGCAAGTCCAGAGGGTGAGTTTTTCCTACAGGTGTCTCCTCAGAGCTGCTCTGGTGTCCCTTGGGTGGCCCGGGTTATCGCAGCACCTTCTAGGAACTCAAGAGTATTGAGTGAATATTGAGTGAACTCACTTGAGTATTCACTTGCATCAGCAGAGGCAGGAAGGCTTGACTTCTGCTTGACTTGACTGCTAATTTCCTTCTTATCCTCCCTGAAACTGTCTTTGAAAGAAGTTAAACCTACTGGAAATTCAGCTTGATTGCTCTTTGTTTTAATTGTGGCTTTGTTTATATGTTTGTATTATGAACAGCAATAAAATAATAACATAAACCATTAATAATTATATAAAAACAATACCTAAATAAAATAAACAGGAAGCAATATCGTTAGTGTTCCTGCTTTCTTCAATTACAACTCTCACAATAAGAGTTGTGATGGGAAGAGAGACCCGTGTGTGAAGCTTTCCAAAGACTCAAGCTGAAAGAAGTGTTTTTTCCAGCTGTTTAACCTCTGTGGATATAATGCCCTATAGGTTTTGAGTAATTCCAGATGCTTGAGGTCCCTGAGAAGTTGAGGTGGATGAGGGGCTGGGAAGGGATCCCCGGTTGCCTGCTGAATCCAATAAGAACAAATAAGCCCGTTGTGGGCAGTGGCGGGTGGCCCAGTCCTGGAGAGATGGGAGACCTTTCTGAGGTCCATAGTGTCTTCTGTGCCAAGATTGGCCAGACAGCTGAAGGGGTCGTGCCCACTTCCTGCTCTGAGGTGATGCTCCCATGTCTGCCCAGACACTTGGACAACCAGAGGAAAAAATCTATGGRGTACGGAGCCCCTTGGCACCAAGGTCTGTGTCACTGCCATGAATTTCTACCAGAGATATTCCTAGTTCAGTAGGGTGTGCTCCAAGCTGGTCCTACCACATCCTTGAGGCTCCTGAACCCCTTGGCCCACTTCAGCCAAGACAAAAAGGTGTGATAAAGTTCCCACAAGACTTGTGAAAGCCTGCTATCCAGCAAAGCCCCAACCCAGCAGACCTGGGAGCAATGGGATGGAGGAGTGGCAAAACTCTTGACTTCTCAGACCATGAGCAAACTTCATGTGCGTGCAAAGAAAACACAGAGTGAGGCAGACAGTACTTATTAGATTTGTGTTATTAAAAATAATAATAATAAAATATTAAAACCCCCAAACATACGTATCTTATATATGTTACATTATGGTCCATAACAGTTGCTGGCTTTTCTTTTTACATATTCAACAAGGATTTCACGGAGGCTTTCTATAGCCTCCACTTCGCAGGGCCCTGGTGCCACTGCAAGGCACCCTTGGGAGGGTATTTACATGTAACAGGTCTCAGAAGCCAGGCCTGGGGTAGCCCTGCGTGCAGGCAGCAGCTACTCCTCACATCACGCGCCAGCGTCCGGGGTCTGCCCCGTCTGATCGCACACTCAGTTATAAAGTCAACAGAAAGAGAAGACCAAAGGCATGTGGCTGCATGTGGGAGGTTAAATACGCGTGTTCAGGCAGCTCCGTGTCCAAACGCTCTGGAAAGCATTTTTATTGCTTCTCCACACATACACACTGAGCCTACATGGGCAACTCGGTTAAGGTAGAGCTTTCTAGGCTGGGCTGCCTGGTTTTGTCCATCCTGGATCTGGGGTGACTTCAGTTGCACTCGGTACCAGTTACCACCGTAACTCAATGCTGACACAAGAGAATTACAGCTGAATTACAGCTCAGGTTCAGGGGCCAGTGCAAGGCAAGTGCACAGGTGGGATGAGATGCCCTGTCCACAAAAACACTAGTTTTCTTCAGAGTTCAAATGGCAAATGGGTGCATTGCCTGTGCACTGTCCCGGGGGGAAAAAGCAGCCCCCAGTGGCTCTGCACACCCGTGCGATGCTCACATCACTGTTCCTCGTCCCCAGCGCGCAGCTCGGCAGCAGCCCAGGCTAGTGGATTAATGACTCCATAGGGAATTTCCAGCCAGCTGCATCAGGGAAAGGCTGGTGCCCTTTAATGGAAACCTAAGCAGCTTCCTGGGAACTCATGTGGTGGGAAGAGCTCATTAGTCAGTCAATCAGGGCAAAATAAGAGCAAAAAAATAAGATGAATTCTTGCTTTGGCTTTTGGAGTGACACTTTGCTTTGGCCAGGACTTCTAAGACTTTTTTTTTTTTTTTTTTTTTTTGACCAAAGAGGGGAAGTTCTTCCTCTCACTGGCATCTCACTGGGTCCTTGTTGGTCCCCTCTAGGTGTCTCTGATCTCAGTACTAATATAGAGACACACAGGATAAGGAGGAGAAGCATTTCTACTAGAAGACACCAGCTGGGAGACATCTTCTTTCATTCTCACTTCCAGCTCGAGGCAGCCAAGCTGGAATCAAGAGGGAAGGATAAATCTCAGTTAGACTAAATGGATTTTCAAGGTCCCTTCCAACCTCAGCTCTCTGTGATTCGGTAGAATCAAGCACAGCAACCACCATCACCTAAGTCCTCAAAGTGTTTTAGGGACCAAGGTTCCAAGCGAAGCGGAATTAAGTGCCAGAGGGACCTGAAAGCATCCTGCCCTAGCGAGCAGTGCAGAGTGGCACTCAGGGACCAGACACTTTCTGTCTCTGCCAAGGACTGTACRTGTTTGCAGAAAGCATGTGTCTTCTGCGACCCTGCCTCTGAATGCCTATGTCTGCGGAGGAATAGTGTCACTTCTCTTCCTCCTTGGGATTCAGTCAATAAGAAGATTTGGCAAGACATTAACATCCATCGGGATAGTGCTGAGCAGTCCCCTAACACTGAGGCCATGTAGACGACCCTAATGGGAGTCCCCTCTATGTGATGGAGCAGGCCCATCACAACCAGATCAAGAAGTGTCACTCTTCTGAGGTCAATTAATACAGGGAAGAAGGCTCTGCCAGGAGCACGACACTGGATCGGCTCATCCAAACCATCCCCGTCACACCTCAGCCTCAGTCCCATGCACCTTTTGCCACTCTGCTTCTGGCCTTCCCCTGGCTCTTCCCAGGCCCTGTGGAAGCACTCCAGCAATCACAGGGCCTGAAGGGTGGCACTCCTGGCCTGAGGCACCTCTAAGAAGCAACTTTCAGCACCTCAGCACCAGCACAACTAATTCTTGGGCTGGGACCTCTGCATGTTTCACAGACATTGCCCTGGGCCTAGATTCGCACTGCCCAAACTCCTCAGTCCTGAATGACCACAGTACTCTGGCATTCTCTTCACTGCAGGCCACAGCACTACCTACCCCTACCTGGGGGATGGTAGGCCCACCTAGCCTGGGCCTAGAAGCACCAGGCCACCCATGGGATGAGGAGGCTGTCACTGGCTCACAGGGCAAAGTCATCATGCTAACGAAATGTAATGATTGTAAAGTAGGCCAAGATAGCTCACCAAGCCATTTGATGTTTCTGAAGCAAGTTTGTAGGGGAAGGACTATCTTTTATCATATAAACTCTTATTTCTACTCGTATTTATTATGCTAAGACTGTCATTACCTCAACGGGAAGATACTTTTGTTGTCTGTTTGAACTGGAGGCTAAAACATTATGAGAAGAAATAAAAGATGTCCATGCAGGCTGGTCAATAAAAATTCCTCTCTCTTCCTGCCAACTCTGCCTTGTGTCCTACCTCCTAAGGCACACTTGGCCACAGCAATACTTTCCAGGAAGGCATGGAGTCAGGCCAGCTCTGAGTGATGCACATCAAGCCAGACAGTCACTGGGTATCAACTCRATAGAAATCATTGGAATTATGCTAGTCATTACCACCTGAGCATACAGGCGCATACACATGCAAGATAATACAAGATTGCCTAGGTCAGCCTCTCCACTCTRCCTCAGGTCCTGGGTACTGGTAGGGCCAACTACAGCCTTTATGAAGATGGAGATGGAAAAAGGGGGTCTCCAGGTCTTTCCTGCTGAGCCATGTGGGTCACATATCAGGACAGGTAAAGGCAAGGGAATTGTGCCATCTGTCCCTTTCYTCCTGGAGAACTTATCTCTGCTTAGCAGTAGTCACCAGCTCATTGCCAGGGCCTGACTCCTCACCATGATTCTTCAGCAGCACAGTGGTTCTACCCCAGGCTAGGGCACAGGGTCCAAGTGAATCAAGTTTTGCAGAAGATCATTTGGYTCTTCCTAGTGGAGCTCCTGGGGCTGATCTCGCTCCAGCACTGGATGGCTTCCACTGAGCTGGTCCACATRCACACTGGGATGAAGAGAAGAATTTGACCTCATATTTCTATTTGACAAGAAAAAGGGCCATAGAGAGCTAATGACAGCCCACTTTCAGCGAGTATGGAAGAGGCAGGCCCTGGATGCTGGAAAAGGAGAGCTGTCAACTCAGACATCAACACTGGGCRGAAAAAAAGACTGTTGAAGAGCACAAAAAGACTAGAAAATGAGAGCTATGAACAGCATATCTGGAGCAGGAAACCAACCCTCCTTGAGCTCCTTCAGGCAACAGGCACCAAGAGGATCTCTCTCCACTTTGCTCCTTATTAAAGGTTTGTCGTTACTGCGTTATTTTTAATACACATTAAGGTAAAAAAGACCCACACGCACACTCACACGTGCAGACACACACAAAAGGAAAATAATTGCCAAAATATACACTATAGACAGAAGAGTCCGTTCGTACTATGTATATATACAGAGTCTGTGGGAGCAGTCTAGGCAGTGCGCACAGGCAGGGCTGAGGGCTTAGCTGTGAAACTCCTCATGGTTTCACGCACTTCCCTTTCTTCTCCCGCCGCTGCAGTTTCCGAAGGCGACGAGTCCAAGCATCCCTCCACTGAATGACCAGGCTGTTCTTGTCGGCCATCAGTCCTGGCCGATCAGTGGAGTTTTCACTGATGCCCATGACCAAGTACTTCTTGCTGATCTGGATCTTGGGACACTTGCAGGACAGGTCTTTCATGTGGATCCACAGGAAGTTGTCACCACGCTTGACCCGCTCATCACGGCACTTGTAGACAGACAGGATGTTGATGGTGAACTTGGCCCAGTTGGCCACGGTCTCCATTTCTAAGATGTTCACTTGGACCACTAAGGGAAAAGAGAGAGACAATGACTGAGGGTGCAGTTGATGGGGAGATGCTCTGCCTTGCTCCTTCAAGGAAGTTCTCATAGCAGACAAGTTGCCTTGCGAGGGTTGTCTCAGCAATACTTCCCAGGAGAGCATGGAGTCAGGCCAGCTCTGACGGATGGGACTGGACTGGTAGCCCTGGGAAGCGCAATTCCCTCCTGACGGTGGATGGCTGGCACAGCAAGGACAGTGATGGCCTAGCTGTCCTTGGCGCCTCCTTCCACAAGCAGCCTGCAAGCAGAGGTGGGCTTGGTGACTGAGGGAGAACTGGCAGATCTGAATTTTCTTTTCATAAGCTCCATGTGACTGGGAAATTTGGTGCCTCTGCAGGGAGGAAAAGGCATCTCTYGGGGAATGGAGGGCCTATCGCCCTGCCAGCACAGCCAGAGGAGATTTCTGGAACAAGGTGCCTTGGCCTCCCATCCAGCCTCGCTGAARAGAAGCAATCTCATTCCTAACATGCAGCACTGATCTGGGTAGAAGCATAGTCCTGGAGGTGCTGCAACCCAGAGGCCATGGGGAGCGGGGCTGAGGCCACTGTGAGCATGGAAGGTCATCAGAGAAKGCCAAAAGGCCAAGCCTGTCGCTGAGACAGGGAGTGGGACGACCTCATGTGCTCATCTGGTGATGGAAGCTGCCCATGGCCAGAGGTACGAGCCCATGGAAACCYGCACCAGGACCCAGCCATGGTCAGACCGAAGCTGACCCTTGGCCTCAGAGCTCTCTCCTCAGCAAAGCTAAGCTTTAACTAGTAAGGAAGAAGGCCCTTACCATAGTCCTTCTTGCAGTACTTTTTCATGTTAATCTTGTAGTTGCCTTTGGCTGGCTTGCAGTAYGAGTCACAGTCTGCAGAGAAGGAAGAAAGGGTTGAGTCCTGAATGATTTGAAGTGACCAATGTCAGTTTAATACCATCCCAACCAAAAGGGGAAGGGGAGGAAAGAGCAGGAGGAGGTATCATGGAGGAGAGACCAGGAAAACCCAACTTCTGCAGAAGATGGCATATGCACCAAATCCAAATGCCCTACAGGAGGCTTCTGATCCAAAACCTTAACTGTTAGGAACCGATGYGGCTACTTTGACTTCAGCTGCGCCCTGGCAGCTCACACGAGTTGTGAATTGGCCATACTGTGAGCACTCAGGCTGCTCCACTTATAGGAAAGCCTCAGCAGCTGGAAAGAGAAACTAARTGGCATCAGTTCTGGACCCATCATACAGGCTGCATCTGCTCCTGTACTGAGCAAGCCTTAATGGTCTCCTAGGGAGTCTGCTGGATAAATCACAATAATAATGGCCGAGAGAGCCTGAGGATCCTCCTTTGGGACTCATAGGAAATAGATGGAAGGAAATGCAGGTTAAATGCTCCTTCAGAGCCAAGAAGGGCCCTACTTGCTCCATCCACAGGATGACAGAGGGTCACCCTTAGTTGCTGAGACAGCAGGACCCATATAACCAGCTGAGAAACTGTCTGTTGTCCTATTCTGATAAATAATAATAAACTGTTGTCCTACCCTGATAAATTCACTCTTTTTCTTCTGCTTTACTACAGGCCCTACAGGCTCAGCGTGAGGAAATCCCATGGTGCTGGAAAATCCACCGCATCAGATTTACCTCAAAGTATCACAGTAGTTTTGAGTGGTGTCACAGCACAAAGGGTGGTTTGGCCTGAGAAATGGGGTGCTGACAGGGATGTCCTCCATGGTGAGGGCTGCAGGAGCCTAAGGGRTCTAACTCTGGACAGATTAGGCAGGGAAACCAAGAAGATCTTAAAAGAACATGGCAAAGGAGAATCAAGAGGAAAGATGCAGACCTGTAAACATGGAAGGTGAAGGAAACAGATCACTTAACATCAACCCTCAACTCTCTAGGCAAGAGAACCAACGTAAGGTCTGACTCTAGTCCAAAGGCAAAGATTTAGCTATAAACACATCCCAAGTCACTCCAGATAAGGGATGTGGTCATCCRCGGACTCATACTCTTCAGGGGCAGTTCAGGGCCTCAGGGCCCAGTGGAGTAAGGAACTTCTCCCCTGCTACTAGACCTCCAAAGACCCCCTCCTATGGGGCCAAAAGCGTATCAAGGGGTATAAAGGAGAGAGAAGATTACTCTTGACCCTGGAGGAGCAGAAAGGCTAGGAAAGAAGCTCTCCTGCAATGCAGGTCACTGTTAAGTGCTTGAGYATCACTCTGGTTGCCCAGGCAGGAAAGGTCAGCATGCCACCCTCTGTGGGCATGCAGCATTGCTAGACCTGCAGCATCCCTGCCCAGCTTCCTTCAGGAGCCTGGCTTCCACCCCTGGCCAAGAGCTCATGTCCTCGAGAGTGAGGTTTTTTTTGTTTTTTTTTTTTTTCCTGTGCATTTCTAAAGGCCCCAGATTTGCATCTCAAGTGGAGTGAGGGCAGGCCGGGAATGCCTCTTTCCTTCTCCCCAAAGGCTTTGATCCTAACAATTGCCCAGAGCAGCCCAGTTCTCTGCCTTTCTTTGCCCCTGCCATCCTCTTTTGAAAACTCAATTTGTCTCCTTCCAAGYGGCATGTTTTTTTTTTCTTCTAAGCCCATCTTTCTTCCTTTCTTCCCATTGCTCAGGTTCCCTGTCCAGCTTGGCAGAGCAGAATCTACTTCCCGGGGGACAGAGCAAGCAGTCACTGAAGTTGTCTTTGTTTGCAGGTTGCCACAGCAATCATCGGGGATGGAGGCAGGGAGGGAGCGAAGGTTTGGGGGGGAAGAGATGGGAATAACAGCTGCCCTGTGCCAAGAGGAGGAAGAAAAAAGAAGGAAGAAAGGACCCCAGAAACGCAAGCTTGTCCTAGGCTCTCCTGCTTTCTCCTTTTCTGCCCGACTCCCTTTTATGGGGGACTTTGGGCCGCCTGTTCCACATTTGTCGCTAACAGAAACGGCTCAGCACGGGGCTCATTCCTTGGCCGAGGGGGCTGAGCCTGCCCCAAGCTCCCTGCGCCCGCCCCGCTGCCCCTCTGCACGGGCCCACGGAGGTGGCACGTGCCCAAGGGCTGGTGGTGGCCCCGGTGCACGGGCAGGATGCGGGCGCTGGGGCAGGCGTAGGGCTTGGCTGCCCTGTGGCACCGGACACCTCATCGTGGCTCCCAGGACACAGCCAGGGCGCTTGAAGGAGAAACTCAGGACCGGGCCGTAGGGAGGCAAGGACTGTATTTGCTTCGGGGACATGTCCTGGACTGGCAGAACTCGTGTCAGCAGCTCCATCGCAGCGTGGGGACACTGAGGGACAACTCCCCTGGTTGCCCCAGCCAAGTCCACCAAAACGTGCTATTTTCTACTCAAGTCCGCAAGAGACAGAGGTGGAATCACTCTTTTCTTCCCCATGGAAAATGGGAGGAGGTTGTCCACCTAGCCAGGCCATGTCATCCTCCAAGGCACCCCAGGTCCTCCTGGGCACCTCACTTGCTGCATGATGCTGCTTTGGATGAAGGTCAGGACCACACAAGGGTGCCTGTGCTGGGAGGCACAGTGGGACCAYASAGGCCGCACGCAGGGCTGCTGGTGGCTTCCTGAGGAGCAGCGACAGGGACGGGGCAGAGGCRGCAGCAGCAGCAGGAGGCACCTTTGGTGAGGCAGGAGTTAAAGGCGAGCCCAGGATGGAGCCCTGGAGAGCTGCCCGCRGTGCGGAGCCTCTCGGCCTGAGAATGAGGTTTAAGTGCCACAAGCTGTAAAGTGATCTGCAAGGGTCAGAAAACACCTTTCTGTGACTGCAGTGATTTCTCTTGACAAAACTCGAAGGTTCTCAGGGCAATAGCATGGGAAAAAATAAAAAATAAAAAATAAAAAATAAAAAATAAAAAATAAATAAAAAAAGGGAGAACCAGCAATGAATACCAGCAGGATTCTTGCAGCTCAGAAGCCTGCCCAGCATTTCAGCTCCTGCTCCATCCCAGCCTCCACATGCATGGAGGATACTGGTAGGCAAGCTGGGGGACACGGAGGAGGGCTGGGGACGGGCACAAGAGGGGGATGCAGGGGCAGGGACGGCAGGGGAGCAGCGCCAGGCACAGTGCACGGTGACAGCCTGGGGCAGCCCAGGTGCCACCAGCACCAGGTGAYGATGCCAGGCTGGGGCTGTGGGCACGAGGCGGTGCCAGTGTCCCCTCGCCACCAGCCCGCCTTGCGCGCGTTCATTAGCAGAAGAAAGGCGATGAAGAAGAAAGAAAAACAATAACCTCCCTGGCCTCCTGCTTGCCATTAACATAATAAAACTGCAGTGCCCGAAGAGACAGAAATGGTGCTTGGAATTAACAATTTGGGATTAGCTGAGGGACTTTCAACCTCCACTTCGTGCCCAGGAACAATCCTCAAATATAAAATCCATTGCTGCCTCAATTTATGTAAGAAACAGGAAAAAAGAGAGAGCCCGAGTGACGCAAGGCGTGTTTCCCTGCCCACACGTGGTGCTATGTGTGTTACGGGGTCGGGGTGGGAAGCCTCAGCGGCTCCCAGCTCTCATCCTGGATGCAGGGGTGCATCCTCCCTGTGCCCYGGCCACCGTCCCACCATGTCCCTGCCTCTGCCCAGCTCGCATCCCGCTGGACTCCCCCGCAAGCCACTAATGCAGCGGTCCCCAAAAGCATCAGCTGAGCATCCCCTGGGACATGCAGCCCTGGCACCCTGCTGGACATGCTGCCATTCCGGCCCCGCGTCCCCCTTGTCCCCACTCCAGCACACGCCRCCTGCTCCTCCACGGCCCCAAACTGGGGGCACGGGGCGAGGAGCCCCACGAGCAAAGGGCAGCATCGGGCGGCGGGGGAGGGCAGCACATGCAGTGGCTTTGCACACATCTGGTTTACTTCTCCTTGCCTTGAGAAGGGAAAAAAAAAAAAAAAAAAGAAAGAATATTTTGTTTTAAGAGAGATGTAACTTAATTAGGTGTTATGGCTGCAAATCTTTTACTGCTGACTTTGAATTCCTCTAAAGCCCTGCTTTGCACTCCGCTGGTTTTGTTAATTCTGCTAACGTGTGAGGGGTTTGGGTTTTTTTTTTTCTTTTGCTAAGTGGAAATATTTTAAAATAATAATAATATCACAAAAAAAATAGGGCTGGGACATTTTGTTATGGAGCTGGTTCGCCGTTGGGCAGAGAGATCAAAGCTGGAGCTCCAGGGTCACCAAGGGCCAGAGAGGCAGGAGAAGGCCAGGCAGTGAGCAAAGTGGCTGGAGCGAGGGAGAGGATGGCAAGTGCCATGGAAAAGCCACGGCTCACCTGGGAGAGGGTCCCAGGGGGTGAGGGAGATGCGCGGGGAGCAGAGGGGCAGCTGCACACCTGAAACCAGAGGGCTTCAGGCAATGACACCTTGTCCCTGGACTCCTGGCCGGCGAAGGATGGAGATGGGTGCAGAAGAGGAGAACAAGGTGCCCCGAGAATTGCCTGGGATGGCAAAGCTGCAGGATGGGGAGCAGCCAAAAGCCTGCCAGRCGTTGCTCCAGGACCAGCCTCCTGGATGATGCGGGGATGCCTGCCCGCTGTGGATCCCCACACATGACGTGTGTGGGGTGGCTGCCCCGTGGGAGCAGCACCCGGGCAGCAGGCCCCCGGCAAAGGTAACGACTCGGCACGCAGCGTGTTTGCGCTGCAAGCCAGGAGCCTTAGAACAACAAGCCCACAGATAAAACGACAGGCAGCTTAAGAGAGACGCTCTCCACTAAAACCAAGTAAACACTCAGGTCTCCATTGAGTGCCATTTATTTTTAGGCAGCTGAAAATATCAGACATTATTCTAAGAATGTTCCTATTTATAAAGCACTGAAGGGGAGTCACCTTGATTACCTCCGCTCCACATGCTGCCCTGTGTTTGCAATAAAACCTTCCAAAGCCCCTTTTCTCCCCCTTTGCTTAAAGACCCTTCTTTGGTGTTCCCAGCTCCCTCCTAGGATCTTCAGGGCCAAAAAGCAGAAAAGTTCCTGTTTCAAAATGAACTGGAGAATAGTCTTGCATTAATTTCCCATAAGTCTTCTTGTCCAAACCGGAGCCAAAGGAAAGACAAACACCTGCATTCAGCTCCCTCCTGCTCTGCTTGCCAAAAGCCCTGATGGAAAGGGGACCCCCAAGGACCCCTGGGTGCCAGGGAGCAGGAAGGGGCTCCCATCCAGCCCTGTCATCCCTCCCTGCTTCCAGCTGGCTTCGAGAGCTCCAAGCRGAGAGCACCACAAGGACGGGGGGCTCTGGCTGGGGTCTCCCGTCCCAGGTAGATGGGCTGCAAAGCAAACCCTCTTCTCCCTCGTGAAGGAGCATGTGGTGGAGCCATGGAAGTCCCCCAAGGGAGGCAGGGCTGGGACAGAGGTAGTGTCACTCTGCAAGCTATCCCGGCCTCCCCACCAGAATTACCAGCACAGGTAACTCAGGTCTTGTTATTGCCCATTGCACTGCACAAAATGCCTGGTGCAGAGAGCGCTGGCTCTATTCCACACCCAGAGCGTGAAACCAAACCTCTGCTAGATCCATTCGGAGCTGCCTGACACAGGATAAAATTCATATAGTGATGACACCTCAGTTCTCGCTAGGGCCAGGACGGATGGAGGGGCCAGAAGCTCTGCTGCACAAGCCAGAGCCGGGAGAGTGTGGGGAGCCGTGCCAGGTTGCACGGGAGGCTCTGAGAAAGCTCCCTCCTCTCCCTTGCCATCTGTACATGAGCCAGCCTGGGAAGGGTAAATAGCTGTGGGCATTTCACACCATTTCCATGCTGGAGATCCTTTGGAGGGATCCACAGGTATCAGGGGTACACGAGTCCAGAACAGCGTAGGATTTCCTGTCTTTCATGCTAGGATGAGTGAAAGGGCCCACATCTTGAGGACAGTAGGGCAAACGGTGGCCTTTTCTCCATGCTTGTCCTGGCCAAGCCAGGAAGGATCCCTATACATGGATACATGAGGGGAGTGCTAGGAACAGCCACACTGTGGTGCTAATGGGGTTGAAATGGGATTCCAGAAAGAGCAGTAAGGAGAAGTCCTGCCAGGCTCCATTCCTTGTACACAGAAATGCTCAAACGTACCCTTGAGGAGCTGGCACAGCCCATCCACTCCAAACACTGATGATAATCACGTAAAGAAACGGAGAAGACAACAAGATGGATTGGATGGCAGAATTARACAGTTTTGGGAGAACGAGAGAGGGCCTATTAAAAAAGGAGGTTGGGGATGCAAAGAGGCTGCTGCACCGTCTGCCACAGCAGCTGCCAGGGCCCATCCTGCAGAGCCATCCAGCACCGCTCGAAGCTCTTCTCCGGGCTCCGAGGCTGGTGGCACACCACTGTGTGGTGCTATCGGCATGCCTTGTGTCAGAGATGGATGGGATCTGCGGGGGCTTTGCTGGAGCCCTGGCAGCAGGAGCCCAACTGGAAGAGGGAGCCTAATCCATCAACCCAGGCATCTGCACTGCACTAAGCATCCTGGTACCCAGCCTTTCCCCAGCAGGCTACGGCTTCCGCAAGAGCTCAAGTCGATGCAGAACACTGCATGGAAAAGAGACTCTTGCCTCTCCAGTCGGAGCATAAAAAGGTGTTGTTTCTGAGGAGGTCTAATGGCTGAGGCCATTCTTACACCAGAAGTATTTCCCTTAAGTGTGCAAAGCCTGAAGCTTGTGCAGGGAGCTGCCCCTCTGCAGCTGTGACCGTCTCAAGGTGCCAGCCTCTGTGTGAAGGGGTGGCAGCAGCAGACTCCCTCAGCGTCACACCAGACCTGATGCCAGAGCACAGTGTTAGTACTGGCATGTCCTGTCGTTTTGTTTCTCACTTTCCAGAAATAAATAGGCTTTCAAATCTCATTAATATGTTTTGCTGAAGGCGACCCCATAGCTGGTAGTCTGGGTTTGGAGAGGTAGCTCTGCACTTGGTCTCTCGGTGTCTCGTGAGGGAAGGCAAAAGGAGAAGAGGGGAAGAGAGTGGAGGARAGAGGAGATGCCTGGAGGACTCTTACCTGCAGGTGCTTCCGTGCTCGTGATGAGGGAGGTTGGGTTGATGGCAGGGATCTCTGGAAGACAAAGGACAAAATGTCTTAAGGAAGAAAGATCAAACCTCCTCTTCTTTCTCCTCCCAGCCCACCAGTGGGGTAACATTTCTTATCTGGGCAGAGGAGCCAAGCTGAGAGCTCCTGAGAAGGGACTTGCCCCCATGTGAGGTCCTCATGTCTCTGCTGCTTTGTCAAGAAGCTGCAGGATCTCCCTGGAAGCCAGGGAAGGCTCTGAGGACAACACACACGTTAAAGCCCTCCACAARGAAGGTGCAGAGAGGATTTCATAGGTTACATCCCAGGGAGTAAGCTAAGAAAGAAAACAGACTCAAGCCTGATCTAGATAWCACAGGCTCTTCAGTGCACCTGGAAATTTCCAAACTGAGCTTAAAAAATTGGAATACGTTGAGTCACTGCAAGAATCATAAGTCACTGCTGCAGCCAAAGCTGAAAAAACACTTGGGTGATCTCCATGCTTTATAACACTGTGATAAACGTGGGAAAGACAATTCTTTTTCAGGACTCCTGTCAATGAAACCTTGGGGAAACTCTCTCCTAACCCCAAGCCAGACCATGCAAAACCTGTCCTTGCTCCAAATCTGACTGTCCATGTGCCGAACTCAGCTCTGGGAGGGRAAGGTACCTTGTTGCAGCTGAAGATAGGATTCACCAGCACTTATTTTAGCTGACTGAAGGCAAGCACTAATTCAATTTAGACTCTCCCTAGCTAATGGAGTGAAATAGTCCCCTTCTGAAAGCAGATTAGTCATCCTGTTTCATCCACCTCTTGGAGGATGGCTGGTGCTGATGGAGAAGCCCTTGGCTTGACTTCTTCAGAGCACTTCCACTTGGCACAAGATCTCCATGAGCTCAGTGGTGGGGAAGAGAGACGTTCCTCGGCTCCAGCACATTGGAATGAGGGCACCAAGGTGCTACGTGAGAGCACATCAGACACGAGACACCGGGAGGAGCAGAGCAGTACTCACTGATGCAGGGGGCTACCGGCGAGCGGCTCTGCTGGTAGCCCTTGGCACAGCGGTTGCAGGTGAGGCCCGTCACGCCGTCTTTGCAGGGGCACTGTCCTGTGGTCTGGTTGCAGGTTTTACCAGCTGCTCCAACGGGGTGGCAGTCGCAGGCTGAACAGGAGAGAGAGAAGAAAAGCTCCAGTTACACACCTGGCACAAGCTGTCCACACCACTGTGCTGAGCCTGAGGTTTAGTTAGTGGCAGGCCAAAATTTCAAACTTCTACCCTTTCCTTCTGCCGTCAGTCATAGGCAGCAGTGCGGGTAGGTAGAGGAAGCAGGAAGGAGGGCAAAGGCAGCAGGGCAAGCCCATCCTGGCAGGAGGAGGGCTAGAGCTCATTAAGGTAGCTAATTGCTATGTGGTGACAGGAGAGAAAGAGAGAGAGAGAGAGAAATAAAAATGTTAGTTTCTAACAGGGGATTTGGAGAAAAATCATATGTTTTAAATGTTTTTAATACAGATCTCCATCAAGACTTGTTTGGGATGGAGTGGAAGAAATAACAGAGGAAATCAGTGCATTCCRCTCTGCTAGGTCTTCCCGGTGAGGAAGTGAATGCAGCCAGCCACCTCGGCACAGGGGAACAGGGATGGTGAATGGCATGGCTCAACGGGGTGGGGAGGCCACCCATACCAACATCCCCATGCCTTGCAGAGGCAGCAGGTTCAGCCCGAGGGGTGCACTAGCCTGCAGGTTTTCTGACTATTTTTATCCTTCACGCTATCCGTCTCCWGTGAAGACTCAGAAGTAAGCCCCGGCATGAGTTGGAGGCGTTGGAGAAGGGACCTGGCATGGGGTGGAGGCGTTGCCAGGGAAGGCAGCACTGTAACTTGAGGGAGGTCCATCCAAGGGCAGCGGAGTCAGCAAGCACCCAGGCTGCAAGAAGCAGAGCTTTGGGAGGGAAATGAAACTCCAGGCCCTGTTGCGGCAAGGCCCAGCAGCGAGACACATAGGTCATGTGGAGATGCGAAAACCCTCATGCAGAGGGAAGAGTATGACCATGGATGGGATCAAACCTTCACAAGGACAGAATCCAGGAATGCTTTATGCTCAGCACAAAGCCACCTCGACAGAGGGCAATGCCYAACCACACAGCGGTGGTGAAAGGCATATTGTCTACTTGCTCCCTCACCCCTTAGTTACTCCAGAGCCGAACCAACACTGAGATTTTATGCAAATTTTGAGTTCATTTTAGTTTCAGGAGGTTTGAAGTGGGTTGTCTCAATGCTTCCAAAGCACATAAGCCACAATGCCCCAACTTATCCTCTCCTCTGTAAGACCCAGTAGCAGAAGGATGCTATCCCCATGGGTTTCCCCACAGCTTCTCAAAGGGACAGGTGGCATCTGAGCTGGGTGAAAGTTGCCCTCAGGAATCCTAGCTGGTTCATTAGAACAGCACACGTTCTTGGTCTGGATGACAGAACCACCAAGGGTTGTCTAAGAGGAGAAGACTGCTCATCAAGAGACAAMCTTCCCATCCGCCTCTCCAGGGCTCGGGGTGGCTCTGATCTGGAGGAGGTTATCTGGGCCTCCATCAGTGTAAGAGTTGAATGTGATTCCAAAGCAAAACAAAAACAGCTCCCCCTTGCCCACCCCCGCAACCCCCTGATGTTATCATTTCCCTAATTTTCACCAGATGGGACCTCGTCAGAGCACCACAGCGCTGCTCCCCAGGCCTTCTCCTACATGGTGAGAAACAAGAGCAAGCAGCCTCTAATGGGGACCAGATGCTTCACTCCTTATCAGATCTTGGCCGGGATTCGAAACGGACGTGTTTCTGACAAGGATATTTTGGGGGCTCAGCTGTGATAACAAATGGCAGTGAGTGAGAGAGTCTTGGCATGACGTGGGGCCTTCAGAAACACAGGGCCTTTCTTCAGCCACAACACGCTTTCTTGCCAGGACGGCTGGGGCCACGTAACACCTCACTTAGCAACCTGAGGCTTTCGCTAGCTCTCCTGGAAACACTCTGTAGTCAGGTCAACAGGGACCCCTCAGAGGCTTCTGGGATCGTGGCAAGATCCGATCCCTGGACTTGATTTGCGGTGAAACAAGTCTTCAATACCGAGACATGACCAGCTGCACCGCAGACACCCTTCCCGAACCAAGAGCTCTTGAGTAGTTATGAAGGGGGTGTTGCTGGTGCAGGTACGAGAGCCCCTTGAGCGGGGGTTTTAGAAGCACTCCTGCCCATGCTGCTATCTTGAGATAGTTGGGAAAATTCAGCCTATGCTGCCCTGTCCCCTAGGACCCTCCTGGTGGGATTGATTTCTCCCTTAGGRCTTGCCCTTGTCCACATGTTTGGTCTATGGAGTTCAGACCGGCAAACCATCACATAGCTCTACATGACTCGGGCCATACCCCAAAGCCCACACAGCCCTGGGAAAATCTGTCACGCAGAGATGAAGATACTGGGAGGGTGAAGGGCTGTAGGGATGACAATCTCTCATAGGACTGATATGAACAGGTTACATCAGGAGCCCATCCAAGGTGACTGCTTGGAACAAAGCTGACAGCAACAGTTCGGTCCTTGGCCAGTCCTGAGAAGACTTCTCAAGAACAGCAGTACTACTCTGCCCTCCTCCAGAACAGAGTAAGRGACTTACCACCCTCTTGAGTCATTCTGTTTCAGAAACCCAACAGCTACTTCCAACACATCCTGAAGAGCCCTGTGTGGCCGCTCTATAGACTCTTCTTGAGGGCTTTCCAAGTCCTGTGGCACTCAAAGGAAGCAAGAGTCCTTGAAGAACTGGCAGGTATGTTTGTCCCTGGAAAAAGTGCACTGCTTTGTCTCTTTTCAGTTAGTAAAGGCTTGGATATTCAGCAGCAAGGCTGGGCATGAAGTGCCATYCTTGCTTGCTAGCACCATATTAGAGAAAGCAGCCTGATGCCCACTGGCATCACAGCCTTGGTGCTCTCCCTTTAAAGGCTCTTAACTCCAATCCACTGGATAAACCACGTATCTGTTTGGAGAAGCCTTGGCCGGCAGCGCAGTCACGCTGTGCAACCTGCTTGTAGGTCTGTTCCGCCGACTCGCRAGCTTGCCTTCCCAATGCCATGCGGTTTTCCAGACTGCAAAGCCTCACTTGCCATCGAGCGACTGGGTAGAAACCCTGCCAAGTCCTTCATCACCAGAGAAATGTATTACCACAGCAGCTGCTCAGGTGGAGCTTAGAAGTCACCGCAGACTGCAGTCTTCCACCGTGCTTTATGCGCACGTAGTAAAAGACAGTCCCTGCCCTAAAAAATTTATGGCTAAAGGCACGGTTCCAGCAGAGATTTATACAAGCGCTTAGCTTCACACATTGTGCATAATCTCTTGGGCCTCAGCGGTGTATTCCTGGTGTTATGTTTAAGCATGTCCATAAATCTCCGTGCAATCAGGACCCAATTCATTTAAGTGGCTCCCTCTTTGTATTGTGGAAGACGGCTTTAAACAGCTCCCGATCCTTTCTCTTGATCTGCAATTAAACCAGCTTTGCTCATCTTACATCCAAGATAAGATAGGAGCTGTCRCATCAGATTTCATTCATCGAGAAATCATCAGATCTTTTCTGGTGTCTCTGAGAGCAGCCTCTGGCTTTTATGATGCTCTTTAGGATCCCTCACCCCACTGCAATTTAACTGCGTTGGAGTCACACAAAGACCGATCACTCTTCCCAGTACCTGAGGGCAACAACGAGACCCTACAGCACCCAGTGGATGGATTTCACCACTAAAGGGATGGATTTCACCATGAGGTCAACCCCTTCCGACAGGCCTGGTAGTGTCACTCCCGCAAGCACGGGCGGCCGCGCGGCTCCGCACTCGCCGCCCGCACACGGAGCTGCGCTCCCCGGCGGCCGCGATCCGGCCCGTGCTGCTTCCATGCTGGATTAAGTCACTAGCTTGGAGCTTAACTCATCGAGTTTTACTTGCCAGAAAGCATGTCTTGCACCTAATATTGAGGGTATTTTTGCTTCTCAAGGCTTAGCTGCTACTGCTTCACCCGTTTTCATTGGAGAAAGCTCACGTTTTACAGCTTTGTTTAAATTACAGGGATTAATGCACAGCCTTTCTTTGTTTGACTTTGCAATTACCACTGAATTAATCCTGTAGGTGGTTCGGTGTTTTCCATCCTCCCAGCTTTCCCATTTCACAGAGCCCAGTCCTGATGCTGTGTCCTGGCGGGCCCAGCACTGAGAGCCTCCCCTTATCCCCTCTCTGCTCACTGGCAGTGGCCACGGACTCTGCTCAGGTGCTATGTGGACATGTGGGTTTGTGGAATATTTATGCAGCTATCCTCTAGGCACTGAGTCTTAGTAAAGCCCATGTTTGGAAAGTTATTTAATAACACGGCTTGTTTAAATAAAYGGTAATAGTTACTGGCCTCTGGACTAGTGTGTCATGTTCTGAATATGAAAGCAGCTTCGTTCCTCAAGCCTGTAACATTTCCTTTGCTCAGCTTCTGCCCAGCATGAGTGCTGTGATGGACATGAGGACCTTCCTTCAAAGCCTGGACTGCCAGCAATGGCCTTGGTGCAGCTCTCAGGCTGCAGAAGCCTGCTCCACACATGCTTTTGGCGTGTGCTGCCAAGGTTTGACTTTTGTTCTCTCTCTCTTTTTTTTTTTTTTTTTTTTTTTTTCTTGCAGGAATGCAGATATTTGGTTCTTTGGCCGCATGACACATCACTGGAGAAAAACAAAACAATCACATCTCTGTATATTTACTGGGCAGCATCTCAGCATCCACTCTCCTTCATCATGCTGCAATGCAACTTTTGCCATCACGATATTTCCAAAGAGCATCAAAATACCCCAACAAGGCCTGACCCTTCACAGCAGAACCTAAGCAGAGCCCCTTTGCTGCCATGAGCATGCAGACTCCTAAGAGGAGACAGGTTTTGAACCAATTGGCTCCCATTCTACATGGATCCACCACTGTATATGTACCAGAAATAGGGACAAATGCTCTGTTTTATGAAGGGAAGGATGGTCAAGGATGCATCGAAGGATCTGATTCCTTCGAATCCCTGAGATGGAGCCAGGCACTGGCTTCTAGGCCCAAAGGTACTGCTTTTATTGCAAGATCCTCCTCAACATAGCAGGAGATGGGCTTCGTGCACATGTTCACCTGGCTGGGCTGAGCCTTTGCAGCATTTCAAAACCTCTCCCAAATGCTGCCAACCCTCAGGAACCGGCAGCCACAGACTGGCCTGGCAGAAAGCTGCCTCGGCCTTGGCGTGCAGACTAGCAGGTGGGGAGGTTTTTCTGCAAGGGGGAGGATCCGCTAAAGTACCCAAGTCCTTCTCTTCGCCTGAGCCTGTGGAATTGCTCCTTGGCATTTCTCCTGGCAGAACGGATGCCGGGGTATTTGCTCTCTCTTCACAGAACAATGTGCCCTTCATCGCCGTCAGGACACGGTGCATTCGCAGGCTCCTTCTGCTCGCTGCCCTCCCCGGCGTGCCGGCTGCTTCTGCCAAGGCTGAGCAAGAGGACTCCAAGCCTGGGACACCTGGCAGCAAAGTGGCACCAGCACCTCGGGTGCTTTGCAACCCAGCTCTCTCCACAGTCTGCCCAGGAGACTGGAAGGACGTGCTCAAGACGTCTCTGAACATCAGGGTCTGTGATTTACCTGTAAACGACTGCAGAACTGCCCCTAAATGGAGAGCCTTTCTATTGTCTTATGAGTCTGCAGTTACCAGCTTTTGAGGATATCAGAGTTGGACTTGCCCCACCACACTCCAGGCTGCTGCACGACGGGGACAGGCAGAGCTGTGGTGCATGCTGTCGAAGGACCGTATTTTCTCTCCATATTTTTTCCAGCCTTAGCCCTGAAAATAGAGATACCTGAACCACAGCCAGCATAGGAAATACGCCGAACCCCTCCCACAGCTTAGCAGCATGTGGAAATAAATCCACCGGGTACTCTGCGTCCTCRCACACGCACGCACGCACACGCTGCGGTGATCGTCGTGCCTAAGGGCGGGCTGGGGGCTGCTGGGGGGCAAACAGGGCTTCAGCGAGCAAGGCAGCTGATCCCAAGGGAAGGATGCAGGCTGCCGTCCCTGCTGCTCCTGGTTGCCAGAACAAAGTGCTCCCACAGGGCTGAACACAGCCCAGAGACCCAAATCCAGCATCCAACTTGGCCATGCTCTGGTGACCACAGGGTGCCAGCAGGAGGCAAAAGTCTTCCAGGCTTCCAGYTGACTTGGGATTTTAATGAATATTTTTTTGCTGCAAAGATAGAAGGAGCCAGGCACGCAAAGCGATGCAGAAACCTCCCATTTGGGCACGGGGGACCCAGCACTGCCCATGGAGGATGTTCAGCTGAGGGGCAGGTTCAACAGGGCTCCCGGGGGCACAAGAAGCCCAACACCCTGTGACACCCCACGGGCTGAGCCGTGAGTGCCCGAAGCTCCCGCCAGCTGAGGAGCACCCTGCACTGCAGTCCCTGCTAGCCAAGCTGGGGCCACCCGGACCAGCTGTGCCCCTTTCCCTCCGCAGCACCAGGAGTTTCGTGAAATAAAGCACCGTCAGCAGCGTCCACATATGTCGGATGGGAGGGAGGGAAGAGATCCAGGGGGGAGATTCGACTGCGGCTCCAGTTCCGGCACATCCCCTGCCTGCCCCTCCAGAGGAAATGACTCAGGGCTTTTCTTGGAGAAACTGCAAGCCAGCAGCTCTGCCGCCTGCGCTGCTGTGCTGGGCTGCAAGGTGGAGGGGGCTCCTCTTCAGTGGGATGTGTGTGGGGGCAGAGCACTGCAGCAAGATACACGGAGAGACCCCCGGAGGTAGGCTGCACTGAGCGTGATTCCTACTGACCAGGACCAACGCGCAGAAAATCATCAAGGAAAAGACGCTTGTGCTGCAGCAGGAGCTGGGGGCTGCTGGCCCCACTTCCCACGCCAGGCTCTGAGCCGTGGTCATGCATCCGTGCCCACTGCCGACAGGAGGGTGGATCCTGGCAGGCACGGCTCCCGAATCGCTGCCAGCCCCCTCGCTCTGGGCAGTTCCATCCCCTCCTTCAGCAGCAAATGCTCCAAAGAGGCGCCACAGGGAGGTGCTTTGTGCCGTCTCCACGGAACAAAARGAAGGGCTTCCTCCTCTCTTCGCGTCTCCTCAGCCGGATGCCATCTCAAAGGGGATGCTCCCCGTCACCACTCGGCTTTGCTTTGTGCAAAACAGCTGCATCTCTGCTAAAACGGATTGCTGGCGGCCAGGGAGAGCACAGCCACARTGGGGATCTCAGAGCACCTTTCCAAGGAGCAGGACACAACTGCAGGCTGCTACAGGACAAGCCCACCTGCCATCCGCCCTCCAGATACCTGCCGTATCCCACATCCTCCTCTTCCTCTCCCTCGGTCAACCCAAGGATGATGGTGCCACATGTAGGTTCAGGGACTGACTGCCATCAGTGAGGGCCGGGCACAGCCACGGGGGCTGCCATGGCTGTGGGCACTGGGCAGTGGTGCTTGCTGGCTGCTTGAAGTGATGAGCTTACTGCTGATGAGCTGGCAGGAGGCAGGTTCCAGCTCTCCCTACCAGCAGCTGCTCAGCCCTGTGCCTGCTGCTGCATTGCACCTCAAGAAACGCTTGCTAAATCTGTGAAGGGTCCCTCTCCCTTCACTTCATCTTCTCAGACACCCCCATGAGAGCAAGGATGGCTCAGGTGCTGAAGACAAAGAAGGGATGTTGCCTATTCACAGGTCAGGACACAGCCTGGACCCAAATGAGATGTCCACAGAAATGACACCCAGGAGAGGAGAGACTTTGCAAGCCAAATAATACACCCACTCCAGACTTGTGGCCACGAAGTTAACTGTCCTAACCCAGTTTCAGCAGTCACTGCACTGCCCTGCACAGACCCTCCTTTCCTTGGCACTGCCATCACAGCATTGCAGCGGCACCCAAAGGCACAGAGAGCAGTTGTGCCCTCCCGGGCCACCCCRGCTGCTCCAGGGTGGTGCACAGTGCAGTCTGGTGCACAGAGCAAGGCTGAGACATTTCCCACCTCCCCGCGGCCAGGCTTTGAGGCTGAGCTGGCCTTCCCCAACCGCCCTCTTCTCTGGCGGAGGGGAGAGACGGAGAGCATTGCAACCACTTGGGCTCGTCCCTCTGCTCCACTGCGTGTGGGAAAGGAGGCTGCAAGTACCGAGCAAGCAATGTGGCCTTCAGAAGTACCTTTTTCAAAGGAGAAGAGAGAAGCAGGAARTCTGACCCCACAGGAGGCAAATCAAATCCACTTCTGGCACTGATAGCTGGGAGGACAGTGGCATGAGCATTTGTCCCAAACGACCACTCGCAAAGGAGGTGGGTGCACGCAGGGCACCCTGCTTACCTGCTTGGAAAGGGTTCAGTTATCTGAGGTAAAGCAAGGAAGGGCCAGCGTGATGCCAAGCGCTTCTTGAGCACATGCAGAGAAGGTGCCTGGCGGCTGCTGCTCCTCAACAGCTTAGCTGGATGCTCTGCTCATTTGCTTCCTCTGTTATCATCAYGACACCGTGCTACTTGCCAGAGAGGAAGCTGCACTCCCTTCCGGGAGATACTTGCTATCTAAGCTGGAAAAAGGGAATTCAGGGGTGAATTCCCAGCTCCAGAGAAGCCGTTCTGTGCCTTTCGCAGGGCCAGCATTTCAGCTTGGATAGTGCTAGYCCTTGGAGATGGTCAAGGTGATCTGCTAGCTAAACTATTCGGGTGAAACTGTTGTTTTGAGGCACCACAGAGGGTGAGAAGGCAGGCCAGACGGGCTAAACTAAGAGTTAAAAGCACGGCGAGGTTCAGCCCCACAATATCTGGCTCGGCCATTGGCCTCGTGAGGTCAGGCTGAGCTTGCTGCCTAGGGACACRGTGTGTCTCTTGACCGACTCACAGGACAAGCCTCAGCATCCTGCAAAAACAGGCATGTCAAAGAGTCAGGCTAAAGGTGAAACCCTTGCCCTGAGGTCCTGTAGCACAGCAGGGAGGTGGAAATGGCTGTAAGCTGCACTCGAAAAGGAAGCCATTGCAAATCACATTGTGGAGCAGACCAAACACTTCCGAGAGGGTCTGTGGCCAAGACCCGCATGACTGATTTCCAGCAAGTTTACTGATGCCCTTTTCCAACACCTGCCCAGCCCAGCACTCTCCAACCCCTGTCCACTAGAGACCAAAACCATGGCCACAGTGGAAACGCATATCCAGATCCTTCCTGTCTTTGCAAGGCAACAAGAGGGCACTCCAGTGTTTCCCTTTGTGGAAGGCATTCTCAGGAACCTGCCCTTGGGTTTGCTGCCCCTGGGTTGTTCTCACCACCACTCAGAGCCTGGAGGGCCTGTGGAGGTGCTGAGCTCAAAAGAGGTCTGTCTCCCTGCTGCCTTGCTCAGGGAGGCAATGAAAGGATGCGTTGAGGTTCAAGGTGAACCACAGCGGCTGCAAGGAGCAGCCTGAGTAACTCTGAGTAAGGCAGGGGAATTAGGTGGGGGAAACTCAAGAAAAGAGGAGGCAGMCCAAGAGAGACCGTGCTATTCGTGCTGTCCACATGGAGACCCCATGGAGACTTACCTTTGCAGGCCTTGCGATCGGCGATGGCCTTGCTCAGGTCTCGGTAGAAGCCCTCCTTGCAGTAATGGCAGTGGCGCCCCGCCGTGTTGTGCCGGCAGTTGAGGCAGACCCCTCCRCTCTTCCTGCCCGAGAGCTTGTAGAGCTCCATGTTGAAGCGGCAGCGCCGGGCGTGCAGGTTGCAGTTGCAGGCTGTGAGGGAAAGGGAGAAGGTGAAGCTGGCGCCAGATCCATGAAGATGACRTGCCATTGATTTGTATGTGGGCCCACTCCTCCCTCAGTCTTTCATTGGATGATGATGGGCAGAGTTCAGGAACACCATGTAATGTGAATCACAGACTCAGAGAATGGTTGAGGTTGGAAGGGACCTCTAGAGGTCTTCCAGTCCAGCCCCCCTGCTCCAGCAGGGACACCTAAAGCACATAGCACAGGGTGGCATCCAGGCGGTTTGGAAGATCTCCAGAGAAGAAGACTCCACAGCCTCCCTGGGCAGCCTATTCCAGGGCTCTGTCACCCTCACAGGAAAGAAGTTCTTCCTCACATGGAGATGGAACTTCCTGTGTTTCAACTTATACCCATTGCCCCTTGTCCTGTCACTTGCCACCAMCAAGAAGAGTTTGGCCCCATCCTCTTTACATTCTCCTGTCAGCTATTTTTGATCAGATCCCCTGTCAACCTTCTCTTCTCCAGGCTAAACAAGTCCAACTCTCTCAGTCTTTCTTCATAACACAAATGTTCCTGTCCCTTATTCATCGCCATAGCTGTAATGACCCCAAGCCTGGCAGGACCCTTAGCATGCACCCTGTAGATGGGCTTCAGGCCGGAGTTGTGGGTGGCAGATGGTTCCTCTCCCAGTGAGCGGGGAGAAAACATGCTTTAAGGAAATGCAGAGGAGACGGTGGTAAGGGCCAGGCCAGCATGCCAAAACGATGGAGCCTAAAGCAGGGCAGGAGGGTTGCCAGGGTCCTGGAGATGCTGTGGGGCAGGGGGCTGCCTGCTGCCCCCCGGGGTCTCACGCTCAACCACAGGCTTCGCGGTGGGAAGGCAGCGGAGGCAGGGAGGGCAGCGCAGCTGGCTCCAATGTGCTGTCCAGATGTGCAATATCCGCAGCCCCCCACGGGGCCGGGTGCAGGGGAGGTCAGCGCGGAGAAGAAAGGGCATGTGTGGGCAGCGGGGCCGGGGGGCGCGGGGGCCGCCCCGCCGTAAATCAGAAACAAGTGCAGAAGGGGCGGCCGGGGCTAGCCAAGGGGAAGTGCCCGCAGCGCCGGCCGGGCACCTGCGCCGGCTGGAGGATTCTCCCCAAACCCAAACACAGCCAAGCTGGCTCCTCGTCTGTGTTTTGTGGGGCTCGGCTTTGCTGGGATCTGGTGGCTGGAGCGAGGGGGGCCGCAAGCCCTTTGCTGCCTTGCGCTTCGCAGCCCGCTCCGTCCCCACAGGCAGCTTCACGCCGGCGCGCGGCCGGCCCTGCCTCAGACCACCCGCCTGGCGCTGGGGGCAGCGGAGCCCCCGCACGTGTTTAGCTGCAGTCACCAACCCGGCCGTGTGTGCACAGGCACGAGCAGAGCCCCGTGTAGCGAGGAGCCGCACGCACATGCACCAACTTAGGTGCACACGTGCACAAGCACGAGYGTGCACACGGGGGCGTGCACAAACCCCTGTGCACGCACATCCACGCACGCACATCGTCGTGCCCACACGGGCGCTTGCACGGCACGCGCTCACGCACGCACACGTGCAAACACTCATGTGCACACCTCTTTTTTAACTAGCCACAGGCCCCAGCAGGACACTCTCCCCCCCCGCCTGCAATTCCACGTGTGCTAGATAAAAAGGAAAAGCGCYGCCAGTTCCTGTTTAACACTCTCGCAAAAAGATAATGGGAACAAGATTTCCTTTGGCTAAACGCGGCGCCCTCCCCCAGCCCTGGCCACAGCTCCCCCTTTCCTTGCCCTCCTAGCTCCAGTAAATTGAGGCTGGGTGAGAGTTTTTCCAGGCATACTGTGAAATTCATTAACGTGTCAGGCCTGGGTTTAACTGCCGGGCCTGCTGGTGCTTCGTGCGCGCGGGGAACCTCGACCCGCCGCACATCAAAGGGCGCCCGACCACCTTGCTCCCCGGCACCTGGCCCACTTGGGCTTTGCAGCCTCTTTTTTGAGGCTGGAGACCTCCTTTTCCCGCTGGGGAAGCTGCTTTTCACACTCCCCCCAAAAGAGCCTTTCTGGAGGTCTGAAGAATTTAGCAAGCCTGGGCTGGCAGCCTCGGTACTGCTACTGCCGCACACTTGGACCTCGGCTGCCCCAAGGCTTCTCCGAGTTACGGGATTAGTGCCAAGATCCCATGCTCTGCTCCGGAACAGCATCCTGGGCATTGCAGCAGGCTCCCCTTGAGGTTGCACCTTTAAAGTTCACTTTTTTTTCCCCTCAGTACTTGTGCAAGGAGAAACTCTCGGGGCATATTCTTGCAACACAGTTAGGATCCAGGATAGAGACCTTGGAGAAAATGCAGCAAAGATCAGACTGCTCGTCCAGGCCTCTGTGCTTGTGGGTTTTGCTGAGCCCAGAGGAAAGGTGGCTTAATGTTCCCAAGCAAAGGAGATGATTACACTCAACTGCTGCAGGGCGGCAATTTGGGGCTGCTGGGCGCTAATGTTTCCTTCCATTCAGCTGCCCTGGGAAGGGGAAATCCCACTCGCATCCTCTTGGGAAACAGGGCATGGGAGCTGAGAAAGGGGTGTGAGAAGCAGGGGAGGAAAAAGGTCATGTAAATGATTCACCAGGCCCATTGGAGGTCCCTTTGCCTGCAGTTTAATTGGTGAGCGAATAACTGGCCTGGCTTTTCTTGCACCGGAGACACAGTGAGAAGCGGCATCACAGCTCCCTGCCTGCATCCCTCAGGGATGYAGCCTTGCCTGGAGGCACTGCTCACCACCTTGCAGGCATGTCCACAGGAGCCCACCTTTCCCCAGCTCCGGGAGCCTGGTAACCTGCTGGAAAACCCAAGATGTTGGAAAAAACAAGATGATGGAGCTTGGTTCCTTCAGGAACAGCCTGGGGTGCAGCTGTATATGCAGCTGCCCTGGTTCTGGTTGCAGGCACCACCATCTCCCTGCTGCATGGATGGACCTGAGCTGCTGCCAGGGTCTCAGCACTCAGAGAAGCGAGCGGCAGTGAGGGGAAGGGTATTTGGTCTCTTGCTTGCTGCAGAGATTGGGCTCACAGGCCAGAAAGGACAGCGCCAAGGGACTATCCGAGAAATGTTAAGTCCTCGCAGTACAGCAGGAACTTAACCAAGCCTGGGAGATGTGGCTGGGTTTGCCCTTGCTGGGGTGGTGGTGGCTGTCCCCGTCTCTGGGACGGGGTTACACAAATACGTGTGACTCCCTCCTTCTTTCCCCTGCAATGGTCACCTAGTGCTAATCAGAGCGGACGGGTCCCCTCTCGTACCAGGCTAAATGCTTGCACTGTTCCTCAGAGCTCACTTGGTTGCAAGCTCTGTCTGTCTCCTGTTAATCACTAATTAAAGGCTTGAATGTCCCCTGCTGTTTGGGGTATTAATAAGAATTTAATTGCACAGTTTGGGGCTAATTACGTGGTAGCTTTCTTCCGCCCTTGTACAGTATGCCCAATTAAACAATCATATGATCAATTAGACAATCACAAGATCTAATATTTGGCAATAATAGACTCATTAAACATCGACAGCTTGCAATGGAGCAACCTTCTTCCCCCCTTCCTCATGGTTTTTGAGCCCCTCACCAGCCTGCAGCTATCCCCTTGCCCCACAGCACACTGCTGCACAGCCCCTCTCCTGGCTGGGTGACCAGGTCCTGCAGTTCCAGCAGGCCCAACAGGTCCAGCAATGCAAAAGCAAACTTTGGCCTGGCTGCTGCGGGTGAGAGCTATGCCCTTGCTTTGGCATCAGGAGCAATGGACAGGGATGCTATGTTCACCCCGAGGGAAATGGAGGACAGACCAGAAYGCCTCTTCCCCTCTCATGTCCATCCATCATGTTGGGCAGGGAGCTGCCCTGCCTGGGAGCTCTGTGGCTGCAGCCTGGAGGGGCTGGGGGCCACAGTTACATCCTGTGGTCCCACACTACAGCCCTGGGCACCTTCCTTCAGGTCACAGGGCAGGCAGGGTGTGCATGACCGCAAGGAGRTAGCACGGCCACGCTTGGCATGGCAGCGGACTCTCACAGAGAGCAGTGCGTGGTCTGAGCACTCATGGGGAAGATGCTGGACAGAGAGATAACAGGACTTCTACCCCTGATACCAGGAAGCAGGAGAAAAGAAAAAGAAAATCGAATGCCTGCCCAGGAAAGGCAAGAGCTGACAGGCAGCAACATGAGGCACAAGGCTGGGTTTCCTGGTCCCTGTCCCCAGGAAAGGGCTCTGGTCCATCACACAGAGTGCTAATCCCCTCCGCAACGGCTGGGCTCCCTTGTCGCTGCTCCTGGGGAGCCATCTCAGAGCCTCTGAAAAGAGGATGAATGAGTGGCTGACCCAGGACAACCAGGAGAAAACGAGGAGGCTAATTAACTTGCTGAAGCCGTAAGGGTGCCCCTGGCCCAGGTCCAGCTGCAGACTGAGCTCCTGGATCTTCGGCACGTCCTGGCACTGCTCCTGTGCTGGGAGAGCAATGCGGGCAACCAGCCCAACCTCCACTACGAACGGACCTTCCCTCGTGCTCCGAGCTCCATGGGCCCAGCGCACCCGGCACAGCAAGGAGCCCGAGGTGCCAGGGAAGGCTGCGCACAGAGCTGGGCAGCATTCAGATGCCTAGAAAACAAGGACACGCACCTGGCTAGCTCTGCTTCTAGCTCTCTGCAATAGAAGACAGCCTACATCAGCTGCCCCGGGGGTGACATCTGCCTGATGTTGCTGGGAACAAATAGGCTTCCAGTGACTGGGATATGGCATTTGTGGGCACCAGTGTCATGGACTGGGCAGCTGTGGCCCCGTAGACCTGACAGCCGCTCTGCGACTTGGCCTGCAGTGGAGGGAGCTGTGGCCAGTGGGGTCTACACAGGAGAGCCCAGCCACTTCCCCACGGAGTCCCGGGATCAAAGCTAGCCCTGTGTATTATCCCCTTGCTCCGTGGAGCGGATTCTGCACGCCGGAGCACGGCTTCCCTTTTGTGTGGCGCTCAGAAAGGCTCTCCAGCCGCGGCGGCACAATGGGAACAAGAGCTCCCGAATTACCAGCGAGTGGATCAATTACTTCCAGTGGCTGCACTGCACTAATCCGTTTCCCTCCAGCCCCGGGTGTTTTCCAGGACAGCCTGCCGACTTGGTGACCGGGAATCCAACCCCAGCAGCGGGAATCCAGCTCCTCGTGCGAAGGCTGCTGCAGGCGGAAGCACTGCACTATGGCCTCCCCCAGGCACAGGTGGCAGCCCCTAGCTCAGCACACTCAAGTGCAGCCAGGAAAGGGAAGGCACAGATTCAGRAGGATAAAGCTGAAGCATCACACAGGGCTCTCTGGATTTGGGCAGTTCTGCTCCTATTGGCTCCTCCGTGGGGATTAGCTTGCTCGGAGCCATCCAGGTTAAAAGACCCGGGGCATCTGTGGTGGAGGAGGGGGTGATGGGAAGAAAGCTTCTCTCATCTGTGTCCTTCTCTTTCTCCCCATTTTAAACAATTTTTAATACAAATAGTCCTATTTGGATTCATTTTGGCAAATGAAGAAAATCCCCCTAAAGCAACGCACCTGAAGCAGGCAGCCCCTTCCTTCCCCCATCTCCAACCCACTCTGGCTTGGTTCCCCCAGGCCAGCGAGCTCCAGCTCTCCACTGCGCCCCAAACACCTTCTCCTCTKGGGCAGGGACCATCCCCAGGTCTGCTATCCCAGACAGAGGATCACAAATGGGCCTTTGCAGTCATCTCAGCACCATGGGCTGCTCCTTCCACAAGGCTGCTGCGTTTTTTAGGCTTGAAAGACAATGAATAGGCACCCGGACCTCAGATTACAGGTATATTTTCACAGACCTCATCAAGAAAAGTCCCAGCTGTGAAATGCCCTGGAAGCTCCAGGCATGGCATTGGGAAGAGAGGCACCCTGTAGGGTACAAGAGGGGTCCTGTTTTTGGCAGGACATGCACACTGCCAGGCAAGCAAGCCTTTTGGGGCCCAAGAAGATCTCTGTGGCCACAGTGGCACACCAGCCAGACCACCAGACCWTCAGCATGTCCAGCCAGATGGACATGCTGATGCATGGGTGTCTTCAACTTGCAGCATGTTCCTCTGACAAATCAAAGCTTGATACCTGGCTGCAATGTCCCCAGACCCTGCCTGCACTCCAAAGTCACCCTTGCCCCCATAATTATGTGGCACGGTGACCCTTCTTCCATGAACACCATGACCACTTTATGATGGCCAAATGGTGGGCATACTTTACCCCAATGCTTGAATTTTATCTTTTTATTGTTTTCACCTCAACATTTCCAAGAACAGGCT